CAGACTCTCAGGTGTTCCTCAGACGAGCATGACGAAGCGAACCTCCTCACTTGCATGGCTTTGTCGGGTTTTCTGGGTCAGGTGAGTAGGGAACCATTGTGTTTCTCTAGTCTGCTAGTCCGGGCTCTCACTAATGCTGCACTCTCTTGGTGTCCGTCTGTCTGTCTGTCTGCCTGTAACTGAGGTAACCTCAGGGCGCCCGTCAGGTAGCGACTGCCGGCTTCCTGTCAGGGCGCCCGTCAGGTAGCGACTGACGGGCGGCCCCTGTCCGCAGGCCTGCTCTGTGCCACGCGTGTGTGGCCCGTTCTGTTCTGCCCCCCGCATGAGCTTCAGTATTGCAAGTTCTGCGCAAAGTAGTTGCTGGGGTTTTGGCTTCAGCTGCGTGGAACCTACAGAGCAAGTCGTGAAGAACCCCCATTCGTCCATACTGCGTGTGTTGAGCCGCCAACTTGGAATCGCTCTCCATTTACTTAGATTTTTTTATTTATGTCAGCAGTTTTGTACTTTTTCTCATGTAGCTCTTTCACGTGTTTTGTTTCCCCGAAGCTCTCAGTTTTAGTTTTGCTGATGGAAAATACCATCAGGTTGTGATTTTGATCTCGAGCTCCATCTTCACTGCGCTGCAGAGGGAAGCGGCTGACTTCTGTGCGCCAACCTTTCAGGCGCCGTCCTGCTAGGACTTCTGAGTCCAGTTTCACCACCGGTTCTGTTGCGTCTTCTGCAGACAGCCACGGCACCTGCCGATAAATCTGGTTTTTTCCTTCCTTCCCAGGGAGCTGATGCCCTTTTATGTCTAGCCGCCTAACTGGGGGTGTGGCCTCCTGCGGGACGTGGACCTGCCACAAGGCGGGGCCCCCTTGCCCTCCGCCCGCCCCCAGCTGAGGCGAAGCCGGGAGGGCGCTCTGCCTGCAGAGCCCGAACTCCCCAGTCTCTCAAGTCTCCTAAACCGCAGCGTATTCCTGCCTGCATGATATTCATTTCTCTTTTACGTGCACTTGAACTTGGCCTCCTTGCTGCCTGGAGACCTGACCCAGGGGCATGTCTCTGCAGTACAGCTTCTGCACAGGCTGCTTGTATTTCGTTTGCCGTCTGCATGTGTTTTCAGCAACTTGCTTTCCTTTCTCTTTCGGGTTTCTTTTGACCAGCGTTCTCCCGCTGCAAAATTCTTTGAAATGTAGATTTCACTTTTTCCCTGCGATGGTTGTTGCCACTGCATCAGTGAAGCACGAGTGCCTACCTACGCCGTGGGAGCATCTTATTAATCCCGGCTCAGGTTGCCTCCCCAGCAGATGCGGCCTGACGAGGCTCCTGCTCCTCTGTGCAGCTGCGAGCCCGTTGAAAGGCTCGCTTTCGGGGGACAGCACACCCCCATTCCCCGGGCCTAGCGGGCGTCCCCAGGTGGGCCTGTCACTGCTGGTGGCCACAGGCCTTTGAGCTCCTCCCTCCTCTTGCATGGTGCTCTGTTTCCTGAGCATTAAAATAGACACATGTTGAGTCCAAAAAAGTCCTTAACACCCAGAAAGATAAAAGAAAAACACCCAAAGATCATCCACAGGACTGCGCCCGGGGAGAGCCACGCCTGGCGCTTTGTATAGAGAAGCCCAGTGTCTTTGCTCCTGGACCATCACGGAGTCATAATTGCTGCGTCGCAAATTGAAGTCCGCTAGACGTGCTGTATTGCACGTGACACGCGGGACACACGAGCGTGGCTCAGCCCACCGCTCCGTGCTGGGCCCTCCCTGGAGAACAGCGACCATCCTGCCCCGCCCGCCTCGCCCGTCGGCCTTCCTCCTCCCTCGCCGTCCGCTTCCCCTCAAGCTCTCCTCTCCTCCATCTCCGGCCCTTTGCTGACGGCCCCGCGCGAGCCCTGGCCCTCTCCACTTTGCTCCCCTGGCGCGTTCCCTCCTTCCGCTGCCGTCTGTGCCCGGCGCTCCTCCATCCGTCGCCTTCTGCTCTTCTGCCTTGGTCCTCGCGTTCTCCCCCCCCCCATCCCACCCACCTGGTGCCTCAGCGTCAGTTGACGGCACGTTCGTTAGCGACTAAGGTGAGAGATGGCGCCAGCCCCGCTGAGGAGGCCACTGAGTGGGGCCGGAGCCAGAGCTGAGGGCCGCACGCACCCGAGTCTGTGCAGGGTACAAACAACACCACAGACCGCAGCAGCGAATCCAAACGGACAGAGGAGCGGGACCCTCACAGCTAGAGGGCCAGAGTCTAGGGCTCTTTTGCAGAGCCCTCTTCCAGGTGGATTAACAGGGGCTCCTGTGACTGCCCACTTCGGCTGCTTGCGAAGCTCGTAGAGTGCTCATCTCCCCGGCGGCGCCGAGAGAGAGCAGGGCTTACAGGTCCTGTGAGACATAAGAGACAGGCCAGTAGCATCTGTACTTAGGGTGAGAGGCGCGTGCTTGCTGTATTCACTTCATTTCTTCTCAGGAGTTACAGTTGCTCACACAGACTCAGTAGTTAACATTAGATCAAGACTTGCTCTTGGAAACATCCCTGAATCATCACAAGCAAGTAAGGAAATTCTAGCTGCGGGGTTAGCGAACCACTCTGGAGACAGGACAGCTGGTCTAAGTGTATCTTGGCGGTGACTTTCCACAGAGCAACGCGGCCTCCTCCGTGCCTGTCCCGTGGCCGTGCGGCTTGGCCACGTCTGTGTCTCCTCCAGGCCTGCCGCAGCCCCACCTGCCGCCCGACACGCACGGTGTCAAAACTGCTTGCTGTGACGTGAGGCCGCCACGCAGCGTGGGCCGCCGAGAAGCCCGAATCTAAACCTGGAAGCGCCTCGAGCTTGTGAACTGGAAACCGGCCCTCAGCCAACGAGGCTTCCAGCCCGAGCTCACCACAGGCCTGCTCTGCCTCCCCCTTGCTTCTAGACGCAGCCCGAGCCCGCCCGGCCACTTCTACTTGGCTGCTGGCTGAGTCGAATCCGTTTTTGCTTAATAAGCCCCAGAAGTTTCCGTATACCTCAGTTTGTCTCTTTTAATACCGTTAGGTAAAAAGGCCACGTTTGGGGAATTACTCTTATGTTGATGCCATCTGTCTTTAGAAAGAAGAAGCAGACACTATTCCAACACTGCCCCAAGCTGTAGAAGACAGGGGTTCTCCTTGCCAGTGCCTTCAGGGTCTATTACAATGTCCCGCCAGCCCCCCTGAATTTACAGTAGTAACACACCGGAAGGCCACCAGGATAGTCCACCATTTCCTTTCTGTTTCTGGTAAATTCTTCCGCGTTCTAGACTTTACTGTCCTCAAGTAGAAAGTACCACTTACATCATAGAACTGTTGCACACGAAGGAACTGTCTCCAGTGCTTGGAACGGTGTGCCGCATGCTCACTGCCCCAGGCCTCTGCGGGAATCTTTCTACTGCTGCTGTCACAACTGCCACTGCTTCCCCCACCGACACCGCCCTCGCCGCCGCACTAACAGTCCCCTCTCCTTCCCTGTTCAGCTCGGAATTCAGTGGCTCCAAATGACTGCTGCCCGACAATGCCAACAAAAACATCCCCAAGATGCACTTTTGCCACTAATGCAGCCGCGGGAAGATGTAGGGGACACCCACAGCCAGTCCTGCGGGTTCTGTGGGCCAGGGTTGGAGGGATGCCCCCCCAGATCTCTGCAGGCGGCCGGCACACCCCCACACACGCACCCAAAGGCACCAGCATGCACCCCGCAGCGGGCTGCCCACTCCACGCGTCTTGCACAGCCCAGCCCGCTGTGTTATGAATCGCACATGCTCAATAAATATGCTGATTAACTGCCGAGGAAGAGTTGAGGGGAGAATTAGGAAGAAAATGTTCTCCAGTTAATTGCAAATTGCTTCCCTGCTTAAAAGTGAATTTGTACTTTATTATCTTTTTCCTACAGTTTGTGGAAATGCTTTGGTTGGCGTTTGTCATTTGATTGTATACAACTTTGTACATTTTATGGAAATTCAATCCTTACAAAGGATTCACGGTAGCGCTTTCTATTTTTATTGTTTCCAAATGGAAGGGATTGTCAGTTAAAGGCTGTTCCAGTGCTGCCTCATGACGCTTGTGGGGAGCCGCAGAGTCCCCAGCTCCAGACCTGGCCCGGTGCCAAAGGAAGCCTCCGCCTCAGTTTCTTAGCTGAGAGAAATTACTGGGCCCTTGGGTCCATTTCCCAGCTCAGGACACTGGGGCAGGCCCACCCCTGGCGCCGTGGCGGTGGCCCCCTTGGCGTGACGCGGTAAGGTGGCCTGACAGTTACATGGTAAACAAGATTTGAAACGTAGTGTCTGCGACGCCTCTCCGCGTCAGGCATGTGACGAATCAAGTTCTGACTTCGCATCTGTTCATGCAGGGAAGGCTGCAGTCAGGGCTTATGCTCGCAAAGCAAGGGGCTGCTTTAGGGGGACAGTGAAGGCACATGTGTTGGGAGGCCCCGCCGTGAGTCTGCTGTTAGGGTTCCTGTCACTGGCGCAGACTGCTGCTCCATGTCTGTGGTCTGCGCCCCCCGCGCCCCCAGCTGGTAGCCCCCTGGGGCCTGCAGCATTTCTCGCAGCCCTGTGGCCGCTGCATCCCACACAGGCCTGGCCACGGCGCCTGCTGCTCAGCTCCTCCCCTGCCATTCGTGGCCGCTCACGGCCACCACCCTCGTACCCGCACGCCCGGGTGTTGACTGAGCTCACCGGCTTTTGCCAGTGGCCCCGTTATCGAGGCTGCTATGGACATGTCTAGCCTTTGCTCTTATCCTTCTGATGTGAGGCGCCCTCGCCTCCCCAGCGCGCGCTGTCCTGCTGCGGACACTGTGCGCACACTTTCTTTTCGATGCTTTCTTATTCTGCAATACATGCCCAGACCGAGGCTGCTGGGTTGTGGGGTGTTTCCACTTTTAGTTTTTAAGGTAACCCCAGTGGCTGCACCCGTTCCCGGCCCCCCAGAGTGGCGGGCCCCTCTCTGTGCCTCTCCTGCCGTCCCACCCTCCACCCATGCCTGAACTGCCGGTCACCTGTCACTTGGTCTCTGCTGCCCCGCAGGACACAAAGAGGGAGCCCAGCTCATGGACCTGCCTGAAGGGGCCCAAGCTGTCAGAGATTGGCACCATCGCCTGGATGATCACACTCAGCGACGCCCTGCACAACTTCATCGACGGGCTGGCCATCGGGGCCTCCTGCACCCTGTCCCTCCTCCAGGGACTCAGCACCTCCATAGCCATCCTGTGCGAGGAGTTTCCTCACGAGTTAGGTGAGAGTGAGCGAGGAGGCATCACAGGCGACACAGCCCACAGGCTCTTGCTGATGTAGCTGCCCCTGGAGGGACCCCGGCCTCGGGCCTTAGCTCACGGCAGGGAGACTGACCCGCCCTCTCTTTGCAGGCGACTTTGTGATCCTGCTCAATGCGGGCATGAGCACCCGGCAGGCACTGCTCTTCAACTTCCTGTCCGCCTGCTCCTGCTACGTCGGCCTGGCTTTCGGCATCCTGGTGGGCAACAACTTCGCGCCCAACATCATATTTGCACTCGCTGGAGGCATGTTCCTTTATATTTCTCTGGCAGACATGGTAAGCAATCTCAGCTTTAGCTGGCTTAACTTAACAGTAGAGGCCACCTGCGCTGTGCGTGATGACGCGCTACCCCCCGGCAGTGTGCGGCGCCCTTCTGCCATCCCTTCAGACATTCCCGGTTGGACGATGCTGCGTCCCGAATCACTTCACCAGTGTGAGTGGGAATGATCCCCGCACACTGGTCCTGTCAGTAGGAGGAGGGCTGATGTGGTCTCCCGAGGAGAGACTCCCTGGTGAGGCCTGTGTTCACCGTCTGTGCCTGCGGGCTTTCCCGCCCTCCTCGTGAGGTAGTCACACCGGGAGAGGAGTACGTGTCACAGTAAACGACACGTTGTTATTAAAAAGTCCTGAACAGGCCAGCGTTGGGGTTACACAAAAGCAGATAAATTGGACTTGGTTCAGATCACATCGGGCACTGCCCTGTGGGTCTGCTGGGTCTGCATGGCCTGTGTGGGTGCTCACTGCCCCGTGGGTGCTCACTGCCCCGTGGGCCCACACTGCCCCGTGGGTCTGCACTGCCTGCGTGCACATGTCTGCCGCGCCGTGCCTGCTGTCCCCTCTCGTTCTCCGTGTCTGCGCCTGAGAGCTCATCGTGGCCCGCATACTATCAAGGGAATTACGTGGCTTTCCAGAAAATGAGGTGCCGAGTGTCTGCAAATGGAGGGCTGTTTGCTCTGCATGTGGAGCCGAGTGGTTGTTGCTTACGTTTCCTCTCATTCAGTTTCGCTTGCCTGGCTCTTAGCTACCACTGTCCCGCTCTCACCACAGACTCTACAAGGCCTCGTGAGAGCGAGGGCGCCGAGCCCCAGAGCCATTGCTGCCTTTATGCCTTCCTCGAGAAGTGACGCCGCGCGCTCTTCATTCCAGACCATCCCTGCCCCTGACCTGTCAGGGCGCCTCAGGGAAGGGTTGTGCCGAGCGCCAGCCTGCATGTGGGGTCCCGCGGCCTCACCCCTCATCCTGGCCGCAGCGCCCAGCCAGAAGGGCGGGGCGGGGGGGAGGCGGGCCCTGCGGCTTCCTGCTTTGGTGCAATGCTCCGCTGCGCACAGAGCAGAACACTTGGCATCAGGCTTGAAAAGCTGGCATTTGCAGGACTCCTAATGGAATCTTTTATCTGCTGAGAAAGGGTAGATTCGAGGTCCAGAACTTAGGGTTTTAATTGCTTTTACTGTGATGGAATTGTTGTAGTGTTCAATTCTAATTCATTTAAGAACCTTACAATTTAGTGAGGGGGAGAACAAGCCAAAGGAAACAAATTGAAGAGATCAGGAATTAAATGCATACTGATTTCTGCACATTATTCTCATCAGCCACCGCGGGGGCGTTTCTGTCAGTTGGAGTGCGCGAACTGAGGCCTATTCTGGCCAGCCCCCCGGCAGGCCAAGTCCCCAGCAGTCACCCACCTGACTGGACAGCAGCAATGAGAGGCCGTCAAATGCGAGGAAGGACAGTATGATGAGGGGTGTGAAGCAAGCTGGAGGGCGGAGGAAAGTCTTTCTAGGAAAGAGGCGCTCAAGTGGAAAACTGAAGCATTTAACTCAGGAAAGACAGGCGGGAGAAGAACCCCCGTGGAGGCTTGTGGGGGGAATGAAGGTTTCGAGGATGGAGAGTGGAAACACCGAGGTCCTGAAAGAATGGGGGGGGGGCGGGGAGCTTTGGGCAGCAGGAATGAGCAGCACCAAGGTCCTGCTCGTACTGGGCTTCCGGTGTGAGCTGGGCCTCCAGCCCAGCAGGAGTCTGCAGGCGGCAGTTTTATGCTCCACCGCCAGGTGGCAACAGCCCCCCAACAATCTCTCTCCCCTAGTTTCCCGAGATGAACGACATGCTGAGGGAAAAGGTGACGGGCCGCCGGACCGACCTCACCTTCTTCCTGATCCAGAACGCCGGCATGCTGACGGGCTTCACCACCATCCTGCTCATCACCCTGTACGCCGGCGACATCGAGCTGGAGTGACAGCGGGGCCGGGACACTGCCAGAGGGACTTCTAAGCTGACCCCGCAGTTAAATATAACTTTGTTTTCAGCTGTAGGTCAAGGAAAGTGATGATTGGCATCAGATCTGTGCAGCAGGCCATTATTTGTTCTTTGAAATGCTTCAGGTCTCCCGTTTCAGTCCCCAAAGTCCGTATAGGAGATTTTTGGACAATTCCCATGCTCCCCACGTCAGAGAATCACCAGTCTGCCCAGTGCCAGAAGTGCTCACTCTGTAGGGACTCAGACACCAGACCAGAGAGCAAAGTAGGTCCCAGGAGCCTCTGCGGCTCTGGCGGGCCCGAGGCCGGCAGGGCTCGAGCTTTGTTTTCGGTTATTCGCAAGCACAGCAAAATGTGGAGGTGCGTGCCCCTCGGCTTGGCACAGCGACTCCCAGACTCGTGAGCCGGGAGCCTCTCGGCCTTTGTTCTGGCTCTGTCCCGCTTTTCTCTTCAGTCGTGGGGACTCGTAGGGTCACTTGAAGGCCATTCTGGAAAAACAGGAATCCTGACATCAGAAGCTGAGCTAGCCCACTGGGTTGACTTTTTCCCAAACTGCCCCATGTGTCCACCCCCCCGGAGTGGCTCCCCCGGAGGGCCAGATGGCTTTCCTGTGGCCAACGGGTGTTCCCGTCCCACTGGCAGGGCACAGGGGTGTGCTGGTGATGCCGCGGCGCTGAGCAGGGGGCAACAGGTTGGTGCACAGGCAGAAGGGCACTAAAACGTGAAGAAATGTACTTCTGAAGACGACACAATTACTCAGCAAAGACTACTTTTAAGTCAATGCAGAGCAGAGGCCAGCTGCCGTGTCCAGGCGATGAGCAGGTGACCAGGTGCCTTGCGGGGCGTGAGAGCCATCCGGGAAAGCCTGCGCTGCAATCTACTTTTTTCTATATGGTAGCTAGATCTGGGCAATCAGTTTAGTGCACTGTGCTTGCTTTTCTGCCTCTTCTAAAGATAGAGCCTGTCCACTCATTTAGGAGCTGGAGAGAGTTGGCCGGAAATTGAGCTTCGTGACCCCAGTTCACACTCCCAAGACACTCAAGGAAGTAGGACTTGACAGGAAAATGGCGGAGAAAAGCCGGCACTGTCTCAGGAGTGACATCTTCCCACAGACTGTGAAGCGCCGGCTGCAGCCGGGCAGGCCTGAGGGTCCCCAGGGAGGGCCAAGCAGCTCACTTGGTGCCGAAGTTAAAGGTCGCCGGAAGCCAAGAAGCACCCACCTGTGGAACCAGGGCTGGTGTCGTTCAGTGTCCTGAGTGCGCCTTTTTGAGGGGCTCCTGTATCTGGTGTTATGGGGGGTGGGGGAGGGAGCAACAGGAAATCGACGATCTGTTTATTTCTAAGATATCCAGAAAATAAAAACTACAAAGAGTAATCATTGTTCATTAAAATAAGTAAACCCAATGCATTTTTATCACTTTCATCGGATTGCATTTGATCTTAAGAAATAATGTTTACTGTTTAAAGCGAAGATTGTATGTCTGGGTGACGCTGTTTACAACGTGAAATTAAACAAGGTGGTTTAATACACTCGGTGTAGGCTCTGCGTGCTGCGGCTCGCGCGGTGCGGCAACCAGGACTGAGTTCACGCCGTCGGGATGACCAGCTGCGGGCCGTGAGTCTGCCGTCCGCGGTTCGTCCCGAGGCGTCCGTGACACCGGTGGCGTGTCCGTCCTCCAGGCCGAACCAGAGATGACCTCAGTGCGCTCTACCAAGCGACCCCTAAGGCTGTTTTTGTTGTATTCAACATGCCAGTTGCTGCATGTCTTGAGCACACCGCAGAGGGCCTCACTGCGGCAATGGCGGCAAAACCCCTCGGCCTGGGCAGCCTGAAGGCCACTGCTAGGGGCTGGGATGGAGGCGTCGGGGTGGCCGGTGACACCCACATGCGGCTACGAGGGCTTTCAACAGCTGGTGCTGGGGGCTCCCGCCTGAGGCCGGCTCAGCTCTGGGGTCGGGCGGGCCTGCTGGGTGCTGGGCAGGCGGGATCTGGAGGAGTGGCGCTGCGAGGCGGGGCTGGGGTGCCGTCCTGCTGGGGAGGGGAGCAGTGAGAGGGCTGCTCTCCCTCCGTCTCTGCAGGCTGCTACTCCACCCAGTAGCAAATGTCTAGTATCAATCATTACTCATCAGACGCTTCCAAACAGCCTGGTTCTCACCCTGCTGTTTACCTGTGTCCCTGGCACAGCACAGGTGGGTCAGCGTGTGGTGTGATGGCACCCCTTGGTGAGGACATGCCGTGTATGTCCACTGGCCACACTGGTTTCTGCACCCTTCCCATCGGGCAGCTGGTGTGTCCAGCAGGGGCGTCTCCGTGCAGCGCTTAGGCACTGTCCTCCCGGAGCCCAGGGGCACGGAGCTCTCCAGGGCACCTACCTTGCTGTCCTGGAGCCCAGCTTCAGGGTGCATCAAGACAGTGACAAATGGAAAACGTCAAATGCCTCGTCACTAAGCCGAGGACACTCAGGCTGCGGCCTCCAGAGGCCGGGCACAGGGCCTGGGTGTGTGGCTGCCCCGCACACAAGCCCTGCCTGGCTGCCTAGGACCTGATGGAGCAGCTGAAAGGAGCCCAGTGGAGCAGCCCTGGCCTGGCTCCGCCTCCTGGGAAGCGGCTTCCTTGCAGTGTCATCTGTGATGTCATGTGACATGCTTGTGACTTCACGCTCCGAGGCGGTGGCTAGAGACCAGCAGGATGGCAGCGATGCATGTGGCAGGCCTGGGTGCTAGATAGTAAGTGCCCCACTCTTCATCGCCCCTCCGAAGGGACGGCCATCGCCATCTGTGTCCGCCCAGGACTGCGGACACCGCCACACCCGCCTGGGACACTCCCCACCCCCATCCGCGTGGCTGCTCTGCTCCCGAGAGGCAGAGAATGAACCAGGTAAGTTGTGGCCGGCTCAGGCCCGCCACACGTTGAAGTGGGGTCACTTGGCAACGTTATCATTCTAGGTCCTTCTGAGGCCACTTGAGCTGCTGCTTTTGGGGAGTCTCTTCACGTCTTCCCAACGCCTGTCACCTTGACCGTTTTGACCATGCTGACCAGCCTTCCCTGACAGCGTGTTCAGACCCAGCCATCTTGGCAGTTTCTGTCTCTCGGCCTCTCGTATTGTTTATGTTTTCCGCAGGGTGGCCTCATTCTAAGGAAACCAAAACAAAACTCCTGTCTAGAGCTGCTGCGGCTTTTCTGTTTAACACGCTTCTGATCACCAGGTTCATTATCAGCGTGAGGCTCCAGACCCAGCGTTCTCAGAAGAACTTGGCAAAAATACATCTAATATTCGCCTGCTCTCCGGCCACCCCCTCCCCCATGATTATTATTACGGAAACTTCGGCACAAAAGGCGGGTGGGAAATGCTGTTAGCTGAGTGCTGTGGTAATGAGGCAGCTGCTGGCGCCAGCAGATCTCCAGGGTGCTCATGAGGGAGCCGGATCTGGGCCGGGCACCGCGTCCTCGCCAACGTGCGTGGGCAGCGTGGCCCGTCTCTGTGTGTCTGTGACAGCGCCTCGTGGCCACCCCACCTATCCTGCCCACGATGGATGAGGTCAAGGCTTTGGCGGAGGGAGCCCGGCGCCTCTGTGCCTCCAACCCGCTGCGAAGCTGTGGGTGCTGGGCACTCCTGGGGCCTCCTCGCACCTGGGCCCTCATGCTGCTCTGGTCATGAGCAAGGTACCCAACAATGAGAGCACCGACTTCTGGAAATCTTAGAAACAGTTAGGGAGGTAACTTCCAGGCCTTTCTCAGCCTCTGCCTTTTGTCTTTCAATAAAATCATCTTTTCTAATCTAACCTTGACCTTGAGGCGGCCTCTGAGACGTGCTGTCCAGCCTGCCTGAGCCAGCGCCCCGCGCTTCTGCCTCTGCAGAACTGGCTCCAGGGGACAGGCTGAGCCGGGGACAAGGGAGGGTGGATGGCGACACTGGGGAGCTCAGGTCTGAGGCGCTGGGTTGGGGGTCCTCAGGGCACTTCTGATGCTGCTGCAGCTCCTTGCACCTGTGAGTTTCCCGGGCGATTCTGGAGTGTCCAAAGGCTGTTTCCTTTCGGTTTTAGGTGACCTGAGTTTCTGTGACCTGCAAAACTTTCTAAAGAACACCGCCAAGATACATTTCGTGCTGGAGGCGGGCAGTGACTGTGACAAACACACCTCGCAGCTCCTCAGGTTGGCACAGCCGGGGTGCGCTCTGCACCGCTGGGGGCCAGGAGGGGCAGCCTCCCTCTGTCTCTAACACCAAGGCTCAAAGGAACTCTGGTCTTAAGAAAGCGGCCCTGCGTGCTGGTGGGGATGAGGGAGGACCGTCCTTGCGGGCTGTGGCAGGGGTGCTGGTCACCACAAAGCTCAGTCTCACCCCCAGGCCTCTCTCACCTCCAGTTACCCAGGAGCCGGAGCGCAAATGGGAACCGCAGCAGGGCTGGTTGGCGGGAGGCCAGCGGGCGGGCTGAGTGAGCGCGGGACGGGTGGGCAGCAAGGCCTCGCCAGAGAGGCGGCGTGGTGAGCCCTGCACGCCTCTCTCGGTTCGAGTATTACTTCTCTTGCCATTAGTAAATTATATGTAAGTTGCCATATGGTTTTGGACTAAAATTATTTCTGCTTTGAGAAATTTTGCATCATCCTTTGGTATAAATATCTAAAACCTCAGAAACTCAAGCCTGAGGGTGATTTCCTGAGGCGCGTGTGGCACACTATTGGTAGAAATAAACGGAGAAAGTTTGTCCGCCTCAGCACACCAGAGAGGTTTAGCTGCTGGGGGTAACGCTTAGGGGCTTGGGACGAGTGACGTAGTTAAAAAAAAAAAAAGCACAGCTCACTTTCCTGCAAAGCGCGAGCCCGAGGGCGAGGGCCGAGAGACACAGCGGCAGGGTTGAGCGCAGGATCTGGAGTCGGGAACAGTCAGCAGGGACCCGGCTCGCGCAAGTCTGCCGGCTCTGACCCTGGAGCCACAAGGCTGACGCTGGCCAGACGACCCCCGGCTGCCCACGCGGACCTTTGCAGGCCCATCCTGCCAGCTGCGAGCCCAGCGTCGGCCTCACCTCCCCTCGCGCCCGCACCCTGCTGGCCTCTGCCGCGCGGCCTGGGCATCTGCTCTCCCCGGTGTACAGGCAAACCAGCTGCTGCGGCGGATCACAGGCCCGCCTCGGCTGTGAGCTGCCCCCCTCCACAGTCAGGGCCACTGGTCAGCGTGCTGCCCTCCTGTCCCTGGTAACCGAGAATGTTCTCTCAGGCCAACAGTAGTCCTCAAATTCTGCCCTATTAACAAAGGAAGTGAGAAAGCAAGAGAGCAAATGTCTCTCCTCTTGGCTCGCCTTCCCCACCATCTACCCGACCCTCCCGCCTGCCTTCACAAGTTGGGTCTGGGGACGAGTGTCATGCTGTCACTCTCCACGCGTCTGTTCTCTCCAGAACCCCACAAATCAGGGCTCTCGGCCCGAGCACACCTGACTGCTCTGGTGAGGGCCTCCCTTGGGCTCAGTGCGGCTAGGTCCATGGGTCCCCAAGGGGGCAGCTGCCTGGCTGTGAGCGTGACCCCAGCATTCCTGCCAGTCTCTCCAGTGTCCTCCCTGGCCCCTCCTTGATCCCGATGTCGCTCTGATGTCTAAGTGGTGACGCACCCAGTGTTTATAGCACTGAACTTCTCTCTTCTATGTGCCCTCAGCACCTTCTGGGCTGGCGAGTCAATGAGAAATGTCCCTGTCCAGCTCCCCCACGGCACCAGAGTGTTACCCAGCTCCTGGCTGTCTGGGCTTCCACACCTGGAAAGAGCCCAACCGCCACGCCGGCACCGGGACTCTCCTCACATCTGATTGCCCATCCTGACTCCTCCTGGCTCTGCCTCCATACTTCCCCGGAGCCTCGGCCCTGCTCACTTCTACCTGCCTGTGTCTCCCCTGGGCAGCCGGAACACCCCCACAGGTCTCGCTCTAGTCTGTGCCCTCTGCAGTCCATTCTCTGCCCAGATGCCAGAAGGATCCTTCACACGTGAGTCATGTCACGTGATGCCTCTGTCCAGATCTTCCATGGCTGCTTCTGGTCTTATCTGCGACAAGAGTCAAAGGTCATAAGCCAGAGGTCATGAAGTGTGTGTTCTGTCCCAGCGGGTCCTGTCCCGCCTCCTCCACTCCCCCCGTGTGCCCGGCTTGAGCGCTCCCGACAGCTGCAGGCCTCTGCCTGGGTGCACCTGACGCTGCCTCCGCCTGGACATTCTTCCCTGGCATTTATCAGGCTTGCTCTCTCATCCTCACGTTCATGTTCTTTTGGGGGTTTTCTTGTATCAGTTACTAAAACTGCAGCCGTTACTCTGCAGGCTTCTCACTGTCTGGCCTGCAAGGTGGGGTCTCCTGCTGCTAGGGCGGCAGGTTTGGATCTCTCTTCCTCCTGCACAGAGCAGGCCCTGAGCGGCATGTGACTATGTGGATGGATGAACCGACAGGCATGCAAAGAGGCAGGGTCTAGCTTTTCAGGAGGTCTGAAATAAATCAGTGGTGTGTAGCATTAGATTTCTGCATTTCAACCTAAAAT